ACACCAAGAATAAACGAAAGGAAAATTACAGACATACAGCCATATTCCACTACGTCAGAGGTTTATCTGAAAACATACAAAGAATATATAAGCAAAATAAAGTTAGAACAGTATTCAGAAGCTACAACATAATACGATAGCAGTTAGTACAACCAAACCATTTACAGAATCAACGGAGAGGGGAAAACACCATTTACAACATCTCATGTGAATATAAACTACAATACTTTGAAGAAACAAACAATTAGTTCAAGTTTTAACGGGATCGAACCTCAGTCGAAGGGTTAACGCATTAACATCCATAAAACCCAGGCTCGAATCTCGGATATTTTTGTACATATAAACCTCTCCGTGTTCAGTCTTTTCTCTTTTGTTGTAAATATTTTTATTCTTTACACATTGCAATGCAGTTATGATCTTCTCATTTTGAAGGTTACAACATATTGCGGGTAAGAACGTCCATTCTTATTTCTGATCGCCGGAAAAGACGGAATAAATACATTGTTTAGATATATCTCTGATCACCGGGAATGACGGAATAAATACAGTATTTCGAAATATCTCTGATCACAGAGAAAGACGAAACAAAAACAGTGTTTAAAGATATCTCTGATCACTTGGAAAGACGAAATAAATACAGTGTTTAGACATATCTCTGATCCCAGGGAAAGATGGAACAAATACACTGTTTAGACATATTTCTGATCACCGGGAAAGACGAAACAAAAACAGTGTTTAGAAATATCTCTGATCACTTGGAAAGACGAAATAAATACAGTGTTTAGACATATCTCTAATCCCAGGGAAAGATGGAACAAATACAGTGTTTAGACATATCTCTGATCTCAGGGAAAAGCAAAACAAATACAGTGTTTAGAAATATCTCTGATCACCGAGAAAGACGGAACAAATAGAGTGTTTAGACATATCTCTGATCACCGGGAAGACGAAACAAATACAGTGTTTAGACATATCTCTGATCACCGAGAAAGACGAAACAATACAGTGTTTAGACATATCTACTGATCACCGAGAAAGACGA